AAAATTCTTCTTCTACCAGTCCTTCATCACCCTAAACGAAATTGGGTGAATACATCTCATAGGATTAACTACTTAGGATGCATCCTCGGGCATCCAGTATTTTAGTCTCGTATCGCACACCCACCAGAACTCGAACTCCTATTAGGAATGCCGCTGGGCAAATACTTCGCCTATTCAACAGCGAAGTGTACTTGCGTTGTTAGCTCCCTAATTGACCATAGTCATATCGTTTACCGATAAAGGATATTGCAACACTCTCTTGTTTCCCTTTCCGTCGTTTTCTCTTTTCTTCCTAATTATTGTCTTTTTTTTCCAACGCCTTCTCACCTTTCGCGCTCAATTTTTCATTTAGATCCCCTTTCCACTCACACATCACAGCGCCAATATTCCGCTAGACGATTAATGCTTCATTATCTCATCTTTCCTATCCCCTGCACGCGAGTCTGCTCTAACCCGAGGCAGGTGCAGACAACAGTCTTGGCCGGTATTTTCATGCGAGTCAGCCGGTCGTAGAAAGAATGAGAATTGAAAAGTTCTATGCTCACAACCGACGTTGCAACCTTCCGGATCTGCCTCTTTGGCCTGCGAGTTTGTGGGTACTCACGTAGTTCAGTCTGGAATGCAAACAAAGGTAGACTCCGGGCGCCCTTTGAACTAAATGTGGCGAACCCCGAAATTTGTCTCATAACGAATCTCCAAAAGTCTATCATCCGTTCACCTCCATCGTAAATTGCCAGTTCCGAAGTCTACTTCGGGTCAGAAAAGACTGATTGGTAGGCAGGGCTAGAGGTGGATGATCATAAAAGATACAGGGATTTGCTTTGGGCTGTTGTCAAAATAAAGAATGGACAATGTATGTGGCAACTGGAATCGCACAACTGTGAAAGGGAGCCAAACTCGAATGCATAAATCATGTAAATCCCCACATTGTCCGGTAGTGCTCCCTGAGCAATGAAACTATAGTAATGATTCATAGCTGGGAGAAACGTGATACAGAAACAATTTTGAGACTCCCATTATTGTTATGAAGAGGCAAATAGAGAAAACGACACAAATTCATATATGCATTTGGTTTCAGCTTTATAATTGTGCTCATTACACCGATTAAAGCTGGAAGGAGTAACATCAAATGACATAGTTTAGAGGTATTGGAAAAAGTCCTGTTTTCAAGTCGTTTGTAAGCCTGCTCTTACGCCTGCGAAAATATATAAAATTAGAATCACTTAAAGCTATTTGGCGAATCTTTGTCAGCTGTGGTTTATAGCTTTGACGATGTATGTAACAAAAAGAACGAGAGCTTAGCATATATTCATCACAGTCGGAGTTCTAGGGCAATCCTGCTTCGATCTCCGATTAGTTCAAGCGCATTTTCAAAGAAAATCAGGGATACAGTGATCATGCATTCTCATCAGACTAGAACCGCCCTTTTTCGGCCTTACTAAGCCCTGAGCATACACTATTTTGTAATATCCATTCAAGATGGCTAGAATCAAAAAAATTAGGCCAAGAGCGTGGGCGCATCATTACTTAAATATCTACTAACGGGATTCGGAGCCAAGATTTGCGAGTCCGGAGACAAATTGCCGCCATTTTACTATTAATTTTACCTGACTCCGTAACAACAGTTACAAAATAAGCGGAAAGGAGGTGAACAAAAGTGAGTGGTTTAATCGAAAATATGAAGACCAAGATGGTGTTGTCTCCGCTATGGCAGCAGTATCCTTTCGATTTATAGAAGTGGGTTGACCTCGTTGTCGCAACTTGGTCTTGTTATCAGGCCGACTTAGTAGAACTGACCTTGTCCAAAGTAGTTGTCATAATTCCCACCATCAAATCATGAGAATGTACCAAATCCACAGTCGGATGCTGGAAATTATGAAAACTATTATGGCAGA